AGTCAAGGAAAAAGACTACCCATCAGTAACACAGTGTAAGTACTAAATATTCTTGGCAGCTTTTATTTGCTTGTTTAAATCTAGTAAGCATCTGGGAAAACCTGTGGGAACCATTTGTTTATTTATTTATTTATTCATACACTCATCTATTTATTTTTTTACTTATTTGATTCTATCTATCTATCTATCTATCTATCTATCTATCTATTTCTTTATTATTAGAAAAAGAGAAGATAACCAGAGATAGTAAAACAGCAAATTTGAAAGTAAATGTGAACAATCTAAGAACACTACACCTGGCTGTCACAGGAAGTCAGTGTGAAGAAATGGCTATGACTCTTGATGAGAATACCTCACTGGCAGGTGATGCTTAAGAAGGCTGAGCTGGAAGGGACTAAGAAGGACCAGCCAGAAAAGGTTTGGACAGAGGAGACTTTGGTGAAGTTTTGAAGGTAACTTTTGTATCAGGAAGGCTTGCTTATATAAAGTAATTACATGCTCCTGTGCTTTGGATTTATAACGTTCTCAAAAGCTCAGCCTGGAGAAGCACTGGTCCATCGTTGCAATGCTACTGGGAGTAGGGCCAAGTGGGGGGTCTCCAAGCTTCTGAAAGCCCACTCTTGCAGGAGCAGTGGGTCCTAGCCTTTCTCTCTTTGCTTGTTTTGGCCACAAGGTGATCAGCTTTGTACCACCCTGGTGTATTGTTACATAATTGAGAACCAAAGACAAGGCATCTGTACAATCACAGAATGGAATTGAGAATCATCAGCTAAAGAAAAACAGTGATTGCACTAGCTGTTTGTCAAGTAGGAGAAAATAGAAACATTTTCTGAATTTGTAACAAGAGCCAAGGACAACCTTCCTTTGTACCACCTTGCTGACAGGTCAGCGCTCTCATTTTAGCAGTGAACTGAGACTTGCCCATGGGCACATGTGGGATTTAAACTGAAGTTATTATAGAAAACTAGGGCCTTCACTGACATTTCCGTGCATCTCATTGCACTGTGTTCATGATGACTCCACTGCCCGCTTGCTCCTTTCTTCTTCATATACATGTGGTACGTCCAGACTCCACATGAAAGAAAGCGCCCATTGATTAAAACCCTTACCAACTTATATTAATTCTCTCAGAATCTGCATGTAAATATGCAATTGATAACAAATAAAATAATTTAACAATATAATATTCTTTGTAGGTCAACCAGTTGAGTTGGAATTTTGTTCACAAGAGTAGGCATCTTTAGGTATACAGAACTTAATTCTAAGTTCTCATTTAACCAAACTATCACCATGGATTCTTCTTGGAGCAGTGGAGCCCTATCCATCGATTCTTCTTGGAGCCACTGAAGCTCTGTTTGCTTCTGAGTTCACCTGCTTCACTGTATCTGCCAGAGATGGCCATTCTGCTGCTGAAGTTACTCAGGTCACTTCCCTTGAAAACCAGTGAGGTGATATTTGCTTTGCCACAGAAATAAGTGGATACTATGTGATCTAGGGTACCTTACAGTTTGGTAGGGCATGGAACTGATCTGCTGAGTGATGGGGCATCCTGAAGCAAACCCTTAAACTGAACACATATTACCGATAACCAGCAGGAGGGTGTGTAGTGATCCACCTAACTGCTCAATTCACACACACCAAAAGTAAAAATAAAAAAGAAAGAAAGAAGTAAAGAAAGAAAACAAAGCTGCTCCATTCACAAAAAAAATAAAACAAAGCCCAACTCTGGCTGAATACCTGTCATGCTCTGCACTGAGCTTAGCTCATCCATCTTTCTTTACACTTCCAACCTTCCCATTATTTCATCATCTTCTGGTCTCGGTGCTGAGGTCTCCTGCAGGCACACACACAGCTGCTCCCCTAGCCTAACAGGTATGATGGTGTTTACCTGCTAGGGGGTGGTTTACAGGTTTCACAAATAACTGAGAGAGAAAAAGCTTTCACCACAGAGTTAAAATATTTAATGACAAAATTTGAATTGCTGTAATAGTGAACCAACAGAACAGCTGTTACTTGTCTCCATATGCAACAAAAATCGTGCTCAGTGTCAGAGAATGTCTGAGGAGCCAAGAACAACACACATTAACAGCATCACAATTCTGAAAGTTAGAAGTGAAACCTATCTCAACTAGTTTCTCTTATTTAGGGAACTCGGTAAAAGTTTCTACATAAATGCATAACCTTTGCTAGTCACAATAGTATAAGACAGATTTCGCTATAATTTTAAGTCTAACACATAATCTTACTTTTATCAGACCTTAAAAAAGTTAGCTACTGATCTTGTTACATTTTACAAGTACATTCTTTAAAATGAAGCATCAACCTGAATAACTGCATAGTTCCTGTACATAGATATCTAATCACTCTAGTGAAGAACTCTACAGCTACATTCCAGGAAGAAGTAGAAACACTGGCAAGCTCCTTTTTTTTATGCATTGTCAATATAATTTGCAAAGTCTTTCAGTGAAAGACAACATTCCTAAAATTCATAGTGAAGTACAGAAATAAATTAAACACCGTAAATCTTCTATCAAGCTCAACCAAATGACTTGGTCCCAAATGACTGGAGTCCTCTTAGCAAATTTCTGTGGGTTAGACTGCATTAAGATTTCCTATTGCAGAACGTCCCACAAAAGGATAGCAATAAATCTCACATGTGCTGTCAGGAGCTTCTCTGAACGAGGCTGGATGGTTGAAGAGGGGCAGCAATGGCTCTTACAGCCTGTGTGGTGGAGAACAAGCAAGATTCACCATAGGTCAAGGTCATGGTGATGGCCTGGAAGATGACTGACCAGTAGAGGGAGCTAACAAAGCTCCAGGTAGGCTTTTCTTCCAGTTCAGGCTATTTCTAATAGAGAGGCCTAAGGTAATCAATAGAGAAAATGGGAAGAGGACGGGTGTGAAGGGCACTTAAGCTTGCAAAAAGAAACTACAAGAATTATGCTGAGGAAGACTCAGCTTTCACGGAATGCATATGGCCTCACCCTCTGCCCCTTCAGAAACAGCTGCACTAAAGCTGTTGGCAGGTAGCAGACAATCAATTTTACTCAAGTTGTGTGGGGGAAAGTAAGACTACTTCCCTCAACTATTTATACCAACTCTCTGAAACTAGAATCCAGTTTGGAAGATGAGTATGTGTGTTTTCTGGGCTAAAGTCTGCAAATGAAATCAGTTTGGGATGATATTTGGGGGCTTTTTATTTTTATCTTTTCAGAAATCAGATAGTTTCCATAGTCAGCTGATGGCATGTTCCTGGCTTCTTTAAAATGTTAAGACACCTAAAGGAAAGTGTAATATACAGTTAACACTCCTAGCCCACAAATACATTTTGCAGTGTGTTCGTTCCCTGGACTATCTGCCCAAGAGGATTCACAAACTCCTTTGCAGCACATCCCCATCCTCGTGACGTCATACCCATGCCATCCCAAGGACAATGTGCTCTTTGCCTGGGATGTATTATTAGGAGAACTTAAGCTGTTTAAATCAACAATAGTAATCTAAAGTCATCTTATGCTGCTGCCTCAGAGGCTACTTCACACAAAAACAGGTGACTTGGTGGATAGGAAAGAATATGTCCTGAAGACCCAGGCAGCTGAAAACTCCATGCATTGCAGTGGGCATCTGGCACATGTAGCTTGCCTCATTGCTTTATGAGGAACAAGCATAGTGTTTTTCTTTTCTTTCTTTTTTTTATGTTTAGCTTTTATCCCTTCAGAAGACAAAACTTCCACAGTCTAAGTGTACCATTACCTTGATCAACACAGAATCAAAAAGTACAGAAGAGATTCTGTTCAATCTGACAACAATATAAAGGCTTGTAACCATGCTGTTCATACCAGAACAGGCAAGTACACATTGACAAATATGTAATCTGTCAAGAAGCTCACGTTAAATGACACAAAATAAACTGGAAAGAAAAACAATATCCAAACCTCCAAAATCCAGGTACCAAGAAACCAAAGGTTCTTTCCCAAGACTACTATGAGAGTGCCTCTGACATTGGGCATTGCTTTGTAAAAAGAGAAAAAAATAAAAGTAGAATCTTTTCACATTATAATTTATATAGACATTTATCTAGACAAATAATTTGTTTTTATCCTACTTTATTCATTATTATTCTCGTATTTGTGTATGTGTTTCATATGAGGTGTCATGATATGTGTGTGTGGAGGTCACAGGTCAACTGTGTGACATCTGGACACCAGGTTTATGCTGTAAGCACCTTCATCCACTGAGCTACCTCACTGACCCTAGATAAATTATTTTTGTTAGAAATATAAGTCTCCCCACATCAGCTACTATAATTTGGGATGATTACAAAAGAGAGAAACATCCATAAAGACACAGAGATTTTAAAGTAGGTTTTTCTGTAGGGCTTTACACTCAAATTTTTATCCTTCATATGATAATTCCAACTAATCAGACTGGAAAGAAGGAGCTGAAATGTTTATGCTTCATCCCAGAAAGTAGATTTCTATTTGTGATTCTGATTTGGTTTTGTAAATGCTAGTGATGTTTCATGCAAAAAAGATTAATATGCAAAGAGCAAAATCCAATACTGTTATTTTCCCTGATAAATGTGTTTTCCATAGCACAGACTTAAGTCCCAGGATACTGAATTTTAATTTTGCTCTTCTAATTAAGAAAACTAGGAAAGTAAGAGAAACCACTGCATGACTTTTAATATTACCCAGGACCATAATCTAATGCCAGCACGTTTTGTTGCTTAGTTTCAGAAGGAGAGGAAAAAAAATATATTTTGCTAGTTTAGACCTGGCTTATCATTGAGTCTGAATTTCATATTCAAACTACAAAAGAATTTTCCTTCAAAAGGAAAATACACGCGCGCACACACACACACACACGTGCACACACACACACACAATGGAAAAATAAAAATGAAGCTGGTGCTATTGCAGCATTTCTTAGCAAAGTAGGGAAATGTATAAACACAACACGTTAACACGTTTTCATTCATATTGACATCTGAAGATGAAGAAACAAAACCACTTAACGTCCAGATACTGGAAAAACTGACCAACAGACAAACAGAACAAAATGAAAGAAGCAGCAGTCCCGAATTCTCATAATCACCGCTGAACAGATTCTTCCATTTTCTTTAGAGGTTTACCAGGATAGGCAGTTTCTCAACATTTGTGCTTCATGGCAAGCTAAAGAGAGAAAGGAAGGGGAGGGAAAACGAATGAGACCTCATTTATAGGGAGGCTCTCTGCCTTGCCTTCCCACATTCAGGATGAGACATGTCAACAGACTCTGTATGGTGATGACCACCATTCCTATCCACGGTGGCTCCTGGTAGATGTGCATAGGACATTACACCTTGTCAGCTTTGTTGGTGTATGTGTGTGCTGGGGGGATGCTGTGTGGTGTTCTTCCATCCCACTGGAGGAACAACGGAAACAAAATGCACAGGGAGGACAAGTGACTTGCCCTAGGGACAGGTGGAATTCCTAGATCCCTGGTTATGTCAGGAAGCAACACTCTTGAGATTTTAATATTTGATGACATCCCATGAAGTGTGAGAACTCAACAGCATGCTGAGAGACAATCTAAAATCATCTCTACAATATGCATGCTGGATTTTCAACCAGGTCCTAAGCTCCTGGCAATTAAACTGTATTATTGAGTAGGGATGACCAATAGACCATAACTTCTAATTATTGGTGCTCTGCCTCACCCTGGAATGTGTCAATACCCATCTTCCTAGCAAAGCCCAGGGCAGACATAGTGTCATTTTCTTGGTGGCTGAAAGAGAATAAGTTAGAATCCTGAGCTCCCACTGGGAAAACAGCATCAAGATTTATGCACATTTTTTTTTATTTATTATTTTACATGTCGATCCCAGTTACCCCTCTCTCCCTCCCTCCCTGTTTCCTCCTTTCCTCCCTTCCACCTTCCCTCCCCCCTCCTTCCTTCTTTCCTCCCTTCTACCTTCTCTGCCCTCTCACATGCACTCTAACCACCCTCCCATCCCATCCCCCCACCGAATTCCATATGTAGGGGAATGCCATCCAGTTGGAGTCATGTAGATCTGACAGGTCATGTGAAGTAGGGGTAGGGCTTCTCTCCTGTCTCTAGGTTAAGGCAGTTATTCCTCCATGGAGGATGTGTTCGCAAGGTCCTTTTGTGCACCAGGGATACATCCTGGCTCCACTGTCTGAGGTCCCTTAAAAATGCTTTGACTCCAAAATTTAAGTTCAAGGACAAGTTACTGGGGAAAAGGATTTCTATTTTTGTTTCCACAGAAAATGAAAAGCTGTGGATTCCTTCCAGACTAATGTGGTTTGATCAAGCCAGACAACCTGAAACAGAGTACCAGGTGATCCTACATTTAAAACAGCTGGACAAAGCAGCCTTACAGACTATATCCAGGATTTCTGCATCTTCTTAGAATCCCCCATGACAGCGCCCCTTACCAGCAGGAAGTAGTTTGGAAAGAACGACACCCAAATTCCCAAATATTGTCTATAAATGTTTGTTTTCATTTAAATGGACTTGGTTATATATATATAAAAAAGATTTCTGCACATGACAGAGGATGGGTAGACTCTACCCTGGTAGTCACTGCAAGGAGACCATTAGCTGAAAGCCTTGGTACCCCTGTATGGTAGTGCCAGTGAAGACTTCCCCAAACCCTCTGCTGGCTGATGGTGATGCTTAATCTGTCAGATGCAGGATTTGTGACCTCTTAGTTCTTAGTACACCTATTCTTCTATACTGATTGCTAAAGCCTTCTTCTCCTCCTCCTCCTTCTAACAACTACCTAAAACTCATGGCATTAGAAGTATTTAGTTACTGAAATGGAGAAATGATAAAGGTAGGGCTTGGCCTTAGACCTATGCCAGTGTTCAGCCACATTCTGGGCCCCTTCTTGTCAGGCCTGCAGTTTTGTTCTGCCTTCAATTTTCATATATTATTTAAGCAATGAGGTCCATCAAATAAACACAGAACTGTTAAGTGTCATGTGTAATGAATACCAACCATAAATATTTGATCAAGGCTACTGTGGTGGTATTCATTGAGCTATTAATTTTCCACTAACAGGCTTGGGCCAGTTCACACATAGCCACTCATCTTCAGGAATGATTGTGCTGGGGCTCAAACCAGACCCTGGGTCATGACCACCTGTACTTTGCAGAAAAATAATTGGATGGGAAAATTTGCTACTTAAGTCTTATAATGGTCTAAGTCTTATAATGGTCCAAGTATTTGTGTATTCCCAAAAGTCATGTCCTGAAACCTATCTGCCATGAGAAGGCATTAGGAGGTGGGCTTGGGAGGTGAGTGGACAATGATGCAGTCTCACAATGAATTAGAGACTCTCTTTTCACTATGACAGGATATTTACTCTCATAGGTCACCATAAGCGAATCAGGAAGCAGACCCTCATCAGGCATCTTGACCCTGGACTTCTCTGTGAAAAATTCACTGTTTATCAACTACCAGTTTGTTTGCTTACTTTAAGTAGCCTGAATAAATTAATGATAGATATTTGGGTAAGAAGTGAAAATACTCTGGCTTATAAAATTCTCTGGGAATGAAGAGCTTTAGGATTAAGAGCAGAAAGAGCAGTAGACTAGACAAGATTATGAAACCAGATTACACAATTTTGCTGTGAGACCCTGGGCTCCCAAATCAAGAATTCTATGTCTTCCCATTGTTTCCCATGCCTGTAAAACTGCCACAGATTAACTCAGGTGCTGGAGTTCCTCATTAACAATTCTTTCTGGCTTATTTACTAAATACTTAACAGAAACTCCCTCTCAATGGTTTGTAACCTATTCTACATAATGCTTATTAAAACAAACCATTACTGATGCTAGGGATGTGCTTTAAGGGATCTGAGACCTTTCCCCTCTGGCCCAGAGGTCCAAAGTGAGCAATTGCAAGAGAAAAGAAGAGAAGGAGGAGGAGGAGAATGAGAAGGAGAAGGAGGAGGAGGAGGAGGAGGAGGAGAAGAAAGAGACTGTTTTCTCCTTCTAGAGAGGATAATGCCTTTTGCCACCCCTTCCCCCACAAGTGTGGGCTGGTGAAGAACAGGCCAGATCAGTGCTCTTTTCTGTGAGAAATGTAATTTGTGGATGCCTAGTGTGACTAATGTTCTTGCCTGCTGACTCCCACCCATGGTGGGCTATGAAAACCTGGAATACACTGAAACCTTGAGCTTTAGGGGGCAGGGGAAAGAACAGGGCTACTTCTGTCATGAGTTGCTCTTTCCTAATGACTATGCCAAACCCACAGCTCAGGAAGGAACCACACTTGCTCAAGACAGGCTAACCAGACCTGGGGTGAGGAGGGTGCTGGGGCAGGAGAGAAGTACCTTGTCCCTCTCTGCTCTAGAGAGGACCAGCACCTATACAATTTGAGGACGTGGTTGTATAAACATGATTTTTTCACTCTTGCATTGTTCACTCTAGGTCATTGCAGGGCTCTGGGAAAATGCAAGTCCAAAGATTTTTTTCTACTGTAATCTAAAAAAACAGGTGACACTTTCCATTGGATGTTGGCTGTCCTCAGGGAAACTATCACATGGGATGAATGTTCTCTGCCATCTGCATTGTGTCCTCCTCTTGTAAACACAGCCCACTCTTCATGAGTCAACAGGCCACACATGTCTGTAGGGGTGTGGAAAAGGCCTGGTTCCACCTATGAACTTTCTTCTCACCAGCAGGCCTGGTTGGTGTTTTGCCAGGGAGATAACATCCTCATGGTAAGCCTATACCGATGGGGACAAACAGCAGTTTTTGCCCCTGGGAAAGTAGCCGCATGTTATCTGAAGAGGTCAACCTGCTCACTAGGAGGACAGCTGAGGCTAGTGATTGTAAGTCCATATCCCAACTTAGAAATCTGCAAGAGTAGCTCTGACACAGTCTCACACTCCTTCACACACTCTCGCTCAGGAACTTTACAGTGTCTCTTCTCCCCTGGGAACTCCTTCCAGAGAGAAAAGCAATTAAAGTGCTAACTTCTCTTGCCTCAGCTCTCTCCACTAAGACCAGACAACTGGCCTGTGTTGGTGAAAGCCGGAGATGCCCTTGCCTTTGATGGTCTCATCAATTTCTGGTCTCATAAGGACTGCTCTCAATTCAGATAGTATAACTGCCCACTGCCCTATCCTTTTGACTTTGAAGCACACAATCTTTATCTGCATTCCTCTTTTCTAGCTGTTTTAAAGAATCTCAGTCATCTGTAATAATTCTCCAGCCTCATTATTGAGCTCGTTATGTGACCGAATGGGACAGGCTTGGCAGAAGCTATGTCTACTGAAATAAATCATAAACAATTTAGATTTATGTGCATGCTCGTCTCAGCACCCAAGGAGATAGGTGCTGTTTTTAATTAATTGTCCCTGTTTTACTGATGAGAAAACACAGGCTTTGAGTGATTTAGCATTTGTCCAAGGTCACCCGGATGGTGAATGACAGAGCTGGGCTCAAACATAGGACATTAACTGCTATACCATGTTATTTCCCAACCATTCAGTAAACTTGGCCACAGTGTCAGGGAAACAGTGGCCACAGCCAAGAACTTGGGTGTTTGTATAACCCCTCCAGAGAGAGCCGCCTATGTGGATGACATCCAGGTATTGTCTACCCCACATTAGGAAGAATAGTTTCACAGCTTCCTTGGTAACCTGGTTCATGGTTTAATAATTAGCCTAAACTGTTTTAACAGAGTTTTGTCAGTACATCATCAATTGCTCAATTCTGTGGGAAGGTAGGAGAGGATAACCCACCCTTTGTGTACTTTAGAACAGTTTTGAAGTTACTTCCTTTTGCTCTCTCTTCCCCAACACTAAGAATTTCTCTCCAGATTTCCGCTCTCTTTCTCCAACTTAGATAACTGAAGTTGCTTTTTGTATTAGTGCATCTGGAGAATCTCTCAGATTTCCATGCTGTTACTTCCTCTGTACACAAAGCTTTCGAGAAATGTGCATCTACATTTATTCCCTGTGTAACAGCTCATAGGTGTGAGGTCCTGATTCCAGCTTATCTGCCTCCTTCTTCAAACAGACTTGGCTAGTTCTCCTTCAGGGAACTCTTATCTGGGTTTCAGAGGTAATTCAGTAAGTGTGCTAAGACACTGTTGTGACTGAGAGTCAGTGAGACACTTAGACAGTTATGTGTAAAGAGGATCATGGAGAAAAGGCAGCAAAAACATCCACCGGGAGTCAGTCTGAGATCTGCAGAGGCATCTTCTGCCCCAGGGGAACATATTTTTCTCATTGCTGCTTGGTTGTCCATTTCTGTTTCCTCAGCAGAAGTGGCATATTCTGTAGAGGCTAACTGAATTATTCTCCCTCAAAGACCAGCTAAAAAACTATCTAAAGGTCCTGATGAAGAGGCTGAAAGGCCAATATGTCACCAATAGAAATGGTTTTTCAGAAATGTAAATTCAAATCACCAGTTAGAAATGAACTACTTTTTGATATGAAGCACAGTCATAAATCTTCCTTATCACCCGAGCAGTGGGACTCCTCTTTCCTTCCATATATGGTTGCCTTAGATAGGGGTTGCTAGTACATAGTTCTGTGCCCTTCTAAAAGGCAATTCTCAGCAAAAGAATGAACATGTATGGTAAGTCATATAAGAGGAACCATTGTTGGAGTTCAGGGCCAGGGGATAATTTTGCCTACCTCTGTCAAAACTAGAGATCCAGAATAGAAGCCTTGAATCAACACTCAGCCACTTTCAGCGCAGAAACTAGCCTTGAGGCTGGGGCATGATTTATGTCTGGTGAAGAGCTAACAACACATGAGAGATACAGGATGAAATAGGGACAGAGTGGGAAAGGAAACCTGAGAAGATCAAATCCACCAAAATTCTTTCAGTTGTGGCCAAGGAAAGAGATATATCCTGAGACATTATCATATTTTCCCTCTCTCTGTGACCTGGTTTGGACTCTGATATTTGGGTCAGTAATTAATGATTTTTTTTTTCTGTGACCAAAAATAGCTCAAAGTCATAAGGTCAGAGAAAGAGATGAAGCCCTTAGAAAGAAGATGGTGACCCACATAAAACAGGTACAAGGAGAAAAATTCTAGGCACTAGTAATCATGGAATGACCCGTCCAATGGGTGACTTTCTGTCTCACCATAGGAAGTTTCTTGGCACTATGACCTCTGACAACCTGACATGGAGACCCTGCTGTTTGCTGGCTCACCTTGTGTGCAGTTTCTGCAAACTGCTGAGCACTGTTCTTCATGTCTTCTGTCTTCTCCTCTGCTCGGCCTAACCGTTCCCCGCGCTCATTCAAGGCCTGGCTTGCCTTCTGTACTGCACTGGTCACACTATCAGCAGCTGAATGGAGGATGCTGTTTCCTGGAAGGAATGCGAGAATGTCAAGAACTGGCTTTTCTAACCCACAGTGACAGATTCCCACACTATGGGAAGGCCAAAGGCAGATGGTACCAGAAAACAATTTAACATTACTTCAGAGTGGCTCGTTTACCTGGACAAAGAATACACACAGGTCTGCCACAGGATCAGGGAAAATTCTGCCATCTTCTCTCTGCCTTACCATCATCCATTCTGCTTGGGGAGGCTCAGAAATTTGGGGCCCACTGGGATTTAAAACTCACTTGCATTGGTAAATGGGAGCCCTGACAAGTTCACAAAATTATGCAAGTTCATTAAGATATATTTGGATATTGTGCACATTTCCACTAATTAATTTGTCACATTTATTTATTTTTCCTCTCATTGTGTATATTTAGGTCAGAGGACAATTTCTGGAAGTTGGTTTTCTCCTTTCATGGTGTGAGTCCCAACTACTGAATTTGTTTATTTTCTGAGACAAATATCTCACTCTGTAGTCTAGGCTAGCCTGTGGTAGGATATCATGCTCAATAAAGCCTGAAGGAGAGTTTTTTGTTTTTAAACTTCCAGTCTGGAGACTGACCCCAGGGCCTGGGGAATGCTAGGCAAACTGTCCACTGCTGCCTGTATCTTCAATAATCACAGTAAAATGTGGGCCATAGGGCCAAATAGATATAAGGATCATAGATATAATAATACATATGATGATCATATGATCTATACCCCTTCCTCTTCATTTTACTCCTTTATATAGCCAGTAACCCATGCTCCCCATTGTATGGCTAAGGTGATGTGATAACTTCCAACCTTCAACCCCATGCTTGGAGAGTCAGGCTTCCTTGTATGAGCTCTAGAATATGAAAAGCAGAGCACTGCACTGCATTCTGCTAGCAGGTAAAAACAAAAATTAGAGAAACTGATAAATGAAGAAATTTAGTATTTTCAAACTCTGGAATGACACCAAAGAAAGGAGAAGGCGACAATACCTCAAAACGTCATGCAGCCTTGGTACTCCACTTGCCAGCTAGGTGAGGAACTTGCAGGGACATTAGCCACTGAGGACAAGCACATTGCCAAATGACAACCTCAGGAAAATTTATAGCTGTATTTTGTTAATACTGAATGAGAGATCTTTAATGGCATTTTATAAAATAGCTTTATGTCTTGAATAAGTTGATTACATCATTTTACTTTGTACCTGAGATGGATACTTCTAGCCATAGATACCTTTAATAGGAATGCAATTTCCACTAGTCTCAGCTACAAAGGTTTCCTAATTTCTCCTTTGTGGGAACACTCTGTAGTTTGTGGGAAAGAAACTCAGGCAGAGTGCTGGTACAGAGGCAGGACTGGAGAAATCACTTTCCATTTTTCAAGGGCATAAAGCATAAAACATACTAAAGAGGGGGCGGGGTTAGGGTTAACTAATATTACCACCTGTAGTCAGCACCACATATTTCCATATAATTTATGCATACATCATACATACATACATACATACATACATACATACATACATGCATGCATATTGAGTACAGAGTTGGGGAGATGGTTCCCCATGGAAATGTGGTTGGGTACAGGGGAAAATCTGGGACTGCAGAACAAATTTAATAGGAGAAATTCTACTATGGTTTCACACTGTACTCATCACTATGAAGGCATTCTATTATCATATCTAACAATAATACAGCATTTTGCAAGCATAAAAGCATTCACAAATAACACTTCATTTGTCCATTCATTTCCCCATTCTGGGGAAAACAGACTCGACAAGTAGAAAAGCTTGTATATGGTCATCACACCAGAAAGTGACATGGTTATTGCCACTGTGTGTGGATGACCCTATCCATTTTCACAGATGTGATATAGCAATCACTATGACAGAACTGTAGGCAGACTGGCATATAGGTGTAGGTTTTAGAAGGTATACAGTTTGGCAGGTGTTTATTTTGGCAGGTTGTTTCCCAGGGTAATTACAGGCTGTTTCTGCCCTCAGAGTGCTCTTCTTAGTAAATAAAGAATTACTGTTTATGCTACATGGCAAGCCAAGAGATACAAAGAAGGAAGAGGCAAGTAAGATGGACTAGGAAGACAGGTGAGAGAAAGATCTGTGATCTATAACCCCTTAAATATACCACAGTTTAGCAACAAAAGGACAGAGGAAAGATGAGGTAGAAATCTGCGAGTTTCAGTCTAATAGTTTACTGATTATCAGCTGGACAGGTTTAGAGGCACCGAAGAGACATACTTTTGGGGATGTCTGTGAAAGCACTTCCAAAGAGGTTTAAATGAGACTTGCCCTGAGAGTGGGTAGTGCCATCCCACGGGATAAGGCCTTTGACTGAATTAAAAAGGAGAATACAAGTGGAACACCAGCATTCATTTCTGCTTTCTTATTGTGGAGGTAATAGGAACAAGTACCTCATACTCCCACTACCACATACCTCCCCCCATCTTCTTTTCCATGACAGCCCTATACTCAAAACAGTGAAGAAAGAAGAAAATATCCCTTTTTCCGGTAAATTGCTTCTTGTTTGGACACTTGATTACAACAATGAAGAAAGGAAACTCAAGGTTATGGCAGATAGTTCAGTTTGCAGTGTGCCTACTATGCAAGAGTGAGGACCTCAGTTTGATCCTAAGAACTTTTTAAAATCTACCATGTGTGGTGTTGCATGTCACAGTGGTGGATAGGTGAAAATTGCTGGATCCTTGGGACTCTCTGGTCAGCCAGTCTAGCCAAATCAGGACTTTTAGTTCAGGTCCTGGTGAGATACACAGTCTCAATAAATAATGTAAAAGGTCTGGAAAGACAGCTCAGTGGTTAAGAAGATTTGGTTCCTAGCACTCACGTCAGGCAGCTTTCAAAGGCCTGATATTCTAAACCCAGGGAATATTCTGAACCCATGGGCATTTTCACACATATAGGGCATACACATAGACAGACATATACACATGAATAAATGCAAATAGAACAAATGTCAAAACAAAGTGGAAAGCAATACAAGGAGGATATCCAAGGTTGACCTCCGGTCTTCACACACACACACACACACACACACACACACACACACACACACACACACACACGGGGGGGGGATCCCAATATAGGAAATTGGAATGGAGAAATGGGACCATTGAGTGATATGCTTGACCACTGGCTTGTGGGAGAAATAGGAAAGAGAGGATTTATGGCAAGAGAGGCCCTAGGAAGCCATTATCAGAGCTTAATGGAGTCATCCCGTTACTGCTCATAAAAACAAAAATTCATCTGAAAGGAGAGCAAAGGGACTGAGAAGGCCTAACTCCCTATTAGAAATTCACCTCCCAGGAAAGTGCCTTTTCTGGCATCAGCTGTTAAAGTGCACAGAGGACACTATAGCTGTGGCCAGGCTGCTACCTTGATTGAGCCAGTAAGAGGTCTTGGCATTTTTGCCAATGTGGTACTGGTCTTGCAAGCATTCAAAATGTAAGGCTTCTAGAGTCATAATGGTTTCCTGACTGCCACAAAGCCAGGCAATGTGTGGCAGGGATGTATGCCCTATAAGGACATGAGGCTATTGGGCGAAGCTGTGAGGATGAACCGTACATCACACTGGACACCCTGGGATCTTAATCTTGGGAAGTTGCAGGCATGGAGTGGAACCATACCAAGAGATACCCTGTATGTTACAGCAGCAGAACTAGAGAGAAGTGGCTTCCAAAGGTTGTTGGACCCCAAGTGATGCAATGAACCCCAGAAGCCAGACATGCAGAGGCAGAAATAGGTGTTTCCCCTGCCTGGTTTTGATCTTACTTTGGTTTGATATTTCCTAGATTTCCTAGATTCACTCTTTGAACCTTTTTTGTTTTGTTTTGTTTGTTTTTCAAGACAGGCTATCCTGAAATTTGCTTTGTAGACCATGGTAACCTTGAACTCATAGAGGTCTATCTGCTTCTCCTTCCCAAATACTACAATTAAAGGCATGCACCACCATTGCCCCAGTTCACAATAAACTTTTGAAGGTGTTAACATTCTGCTTCTCTATTCTTCCCCTTCCTGATCCCTTATGTTCTCTTCCCCCTCCCCCTCTACCCTCCTCTTATTCCTCCCTCCCTCCCTCCCCCCACCCAGTGCTCCCAAGATCATGTCCCTTTCCCCTTCTTGGTGTCCATGTATGTCTCTCTTGTGGCCCCCCCTTGTTTCCTAGCTTCTCTGGGATTGTGGATAGTAGGCTAGTTATCCTTTGTTCTGTCTAATTTCCACTTACGAGTGAGTACATACCATGTTTTCCTTTCTGTGTCTGGTGGGTTGCCTCACTCAGGAAGAAAAGAGATGCTTTAATAGAGGGAGCCATTATGTGTTTAAGGAGAAACGTGGTACTAGTGAAATCCCCATGGATCCAAAAGGATAACCCCAACTAAGAATCTAAACAATAGTGGAGAGCCCACCTTAAATGCCCTTCCCCTATAATGAGATTGATGACTACCTTAAATGGCATCATAGAGCTTTGATCTAGTAGCTGATGAAAGCAGAAGCAGACACCCACAGCTAAATAGAGCCAAACTCCTGAAATCCAGTTGTAGAGAGGAAGGAGGGATGAGCAAAGGGGTCAAGAACATGTTGGGAAAACCCAGAGAAGCAGCTGACCCGATCAAGTGGGAGCTCACAGACCCAAGTCTGACAGCTGGGGAACCAGCATAGGATCGAACCAGGTCCCCTGAATGTGAGTGTCAATTGGGGCAGTCTATGGAGCCTCTGGCAGTGGAAACAGTATTTATCCCTAGTACATGAATGGGCTTTGGGAGCCCATTCCCTATGGAGGGATACTCTCTCAACCTAGATACAGTGCGGAGGGCCTAGGTCCTGCCCCAAATGATGTGACAGACTTTGATGACCCCTCATGGGAGGCCTCACCCTCTCTAGGGAGTGGACAGGGGATGGCATGGGGGGTCGGTGGGGGAGAATGGGAGGACAAGAAGGAGAGTGAACTGAGATTGATATGCATAATAAGATTGTTTTA